AATGTGTGAATGCTATAAGTTTTGAATAAAAAATGTATTAATATCAATGTTATAATTTAGAAGATCACACCTCTAAATGTTTAATGTAAATCCATCATGTTTTAAAATTGAAAACAAATTCAAAAATGGAATGGCTATTTATAAAATTCTAGCCAAAAATCTAATAATTACAGTACTATAGTTTTTGTAAATCAGTTTACCTCTTGAATCCCAGTTTCTGAAATTGGTTTGAAACCAGGGAATTTTTGCCAGCCTTTTACATTTTACTACATACAACAAATTGTCTAAATTAGAGAAATTTTAGTGAAAAATCTTGTCACTCTGGGTAGTCAAGAGGTTAACATTCATGGTTCACAATTCAATAAGTTGCAATTGCAAGATGGTTAGATTTGGACAACAGATGATTTGAGTTACTTCTATGCAAAAACTAGCTACAATATCAGCTGATACATTTGTAAACACAGCAGAAAGCTGCAGAATGCTTCTTTTCTAGAAAAGCATTACATGTAGATAGTATAGTAGGAACAAGGGGTTCCCATGCACCCATAAGGTGTGAATAAGTTACATACATTTTTGTAATCCCTAGGGTGTCTATTTAATGAATTCATTTGTTAACATTGCCAACTAATGTCCCATAGTACTTTTATTGCGGCATTCAGTTACCATGGTTACGCATCTTTAGACATCTTACCTTGGTATCTTAAATCATTTTTAGCTCTGTCATTATTTGGTCTATAGAAATGATATTGGTACCAAATTAAACCTCGTTAAATTTCCAATAAATTTCTGATATTCAATTATGCAAATTATCTAATTTGCATAAATTATGACGTCATCAATCTATTTTTGGTTCAGAATTTCCAACTATAGCAACGTATCTATTAGAACTGAGGCCGTATGGCAAAATTTCTGAAAGGTTTTGTCCTTTATTCTATTAGTAGAAGGTATAAGCAACATAAAAGTGAAAACAGATTCAAAATTGAATCAGCATTACGAAAGTTATGTAACTTTCGAGGCAGCTATCGTGAATGTCATTATTTGACAATAATATACATACATCTTACCTTGGAGTCTTGAATCAATGTAACTTCGCCATTATTTGGTCTATAGAGATGATATTGGTATCTGATTAAACCTTATTAAATTTACTATATGGTTACAATATTCAGTTATGCAAATTAGCTAATATGCATTAATTGTGACGTCATCAATCCATTTTTGGTTCAGAATATCCTAGTATAGCAACATATCTATTAGAACTGAGGCCGTATGACAGAATGTGCGCATAGTTTTGTCCCTTATTTGATGAGTGGAAGATATAAGCAACATTAAAGAGACAACAAATCTTCAAAATTGGATCAGAATTAACAAAATTATCCAGCTTTGGAGGCAGCTACTGTGAACGTCATTGTTTGACAATTATAAAAAGAATATTAAATTAACAAAAAAAGTAACAACCATAGTTGTTTCAATCTTATTGAGTAAAAATGTGCATGTATTGAACTGAACTAATAAGTATGTGGAAAGGTGACATGTATTTTGACTATCATTCACAGGGGTCAAAACGGTTATCTCGACCCTGTATATTAAAGATCCAATTTTATAATTTACCATGCACTTTCAATGATTCATATAAATAGTATACATATAGTCTGATTTTCATCATATTCTTCATATTCTTGATTCTTAAAGTATCTGAAGTATAAAGCATGATTAGAAGTGAAGATGATTCATCATATGGTTTATGTAATATTTCTAACATTTCAGATGCTATGGTAACATCACTTGATAATGAGGTTTTTACATTTCACGTTCTTAATGAGTTAAAAGAAAGTTATTCTCCCTTTGCTTTAGAGATAAATTATAGTCACATGAATTTGTTTAAAAAAATTATAACTTAATTTAACCCCCTCCTAACAGCCCCCATATTTGAAGATTTTGGTGAAACCTGGCAAATTACATTAATTATTAGGTTCCAGAAGCCCCCAGAAGCTATATGATGGCCCCCAGTGGCCCCAAGAATCTATACAGGGGCCCCAAGTGGCCCCCAGAAGGTATCCAATGCCCCCAGAAGCTATACAAGGGCCCACAGAAACTATACTGTGGTCTCCAGAAGCTATATGGTGGCCCCCAGTGGCCCTCAGAAGCTATATGATGGCCCCAAGAAGCTAATTAGTAGCCCCCAGGAGCTATATGGTGGCACCCAGAAGCTATACAGGGAACCCCAGTGGCCCCAAGAAGCTATACGATGGCCCCCAGAAGCTATACAGCAGCCCCCAGAAGCTATACAGCAGCCCCCAGAAGCTACACGATGGCCCCCAGAATCTATATGATGGCCCCCAATGGCTCCCAGAAGCTATACAGGGCCCCCAGTAGCCCCTAGAAGCTATACCGTGGCCCCCAAAGCTATATGGTGGCCCATTGGGGGACACTGTATAGCTTCTGGAGGCCATCGTATAGCTCATGGGGGCTACCGTATAGTTTCTGCGGGCCCTTGCATAGCTTCTGGGGGCCATCTTATAGCTTCTGGGAGCCACTGGGGGCCCCTGTATAGCTTCTGGGGGCTACAGTACAGTTTCTGCAGGCCCTTGCATAGCTTCTGGGGGCCATCGTATAGCTTCTGGGAGCCACTGTGGGCCCCTGTATAGCTTCTGGGGGCCACTATATAGCTTTCGGGGCCACTGAGGGCCACAGTATAGCTTCTAGGGGCTACTGGGGGGCCCTTTATAGCTTCTGGGAGCCATTGGGGGCCACCATATAGATTCTGGGGGCCATTGTGTAGCTTCTGGGAACCACCATCTAGCTCCTGAGGGTCACTATTTAGCTTCTGGGGGCCATCATATAGCCTATGAGGGCCACTGGGGGCCACCGTATAGCTTCTAGGGGCTACTGGGGGCCCTTCACATCTTCTGAGAGCCATTGGGGGCCATCATATAGATTCTTGGGGCCATCATGTAGCTTTTTGGGGCTCCTGTATAGCTTCTGGGGGCCATCGTTTAGCTTCTTGGGGCCACTGGGGTCCCCTGTATAGCTTCTGTGAGCCACCGTATAGCTCCTTGGGGCCACTAATTAGCTTCTGGAGGCCATCATATAGCTTCCGAGGGCCACTGGGGGCCACCATATAGCTTCTGGAGACCATAGTATAGTTTCTGGGGGCCCTTGTATAGCTTCTGGGGGCCATAGTATAGCTTCTGGGGGCCCCCATGTAACTTCTGGGGGCCACCGTATAGCTTTTTGGGGCCACTGGGGGCCCTTGTATAGCTTCTGGGCGCCACCGTATAGCTCCTGGGGGCCACAGGGTTTCCTGTATAGCTTCTGGGAGCCACCGTATAGCTCCTGGGGGCCACTATTCAGCTTCTGGGGGCCAACATATAGCTTCTGGGGAGCACAGTATAGCTTCTGGGGGCCACTTGGGGCCCCTGTATAGATTCTTGGGGCTACTGGGGGCCATCATATAGCTTCTGGGGGCTTCTGGAACCTAATAATTAATGTATTTTGCCAGGTTTCACCAAAATCTTCAAATATGGGGGCTGTCAGGGGGGGGGGTTAAATTAATTAAGTTATAATTTTTCTAAACAAATTCATGCGACTATAATTTATCTCTAAAGCAAAGGGAGAATAACTTCCTTTTAACTCATTAAGAACGTGAAATGTAAAAACCTCATGATCAAGATCAAGTGATGTTACCATAGCATCTGAAATGTTAGAAATAAACCATATGATGAATCATCTTCACTTCTAATCATGCTTTATACTTCAGATACTTTAAGAATCAAGAATATGAAGAATATGATGAAAATCAGACTATATGTATACTATTTATATGAATTATTGAAAGTGCATGGTAAATTATAAGATTGGATCTTTAATATACAGGGTCGAGATAACCGTTTTGACCCCTGTGAATGATAGTCAAAATGCATGTAACCTTTCCACATACTTATTAGTTCAGTTCAATACATGCACATTTTTACTCAATAAGATTGAAACAACTATGGTTGTTACTTTTTTTGTTAATTTAATGTTCTTTTTATAATTGTCAAACAATGACGTTCACAGTAGCTGCCTACAAAGCTGGATAATTTTGTTAATTCTGATCCAATTTTGTTGTCTCTTTAATGTTGCTTATATCTTCCACTCATCAAATAAGGGACAAAACTATGCACACATTCTGTCATACGGCCTCAGTTCTAATAGATATGTTGCTATACTACGATATTTTGAACAAAAAATGGATTGATGACGTCACAATTAATGCAAATTAGCCAATTTGCATAACTTAATATTGTAACCATATAGTAAATTTAATAAGGTTTAATCAGATACCAATATCATCTCTATAGACCAAATAATGGCGAAGCTACATTGATTCAAGACTCCAAGGTAAGACGTATGTATATTATTGTCAAATAATGACATTCACGATAGCTGCCTCGAAAGTTACATAACTTTCGTAATACTGATTCAATTTTGAATCTGTTTTCACTTTTATGTTGCTTATACCTTCTACTAATAGAATAAAGGACAAAACCTTTCAGAAATTTTGCCATACGGCCTCAGTTCTAATAGATACGTTGCTATAGTTGGAAATTCTGAACCAAAAATAGATTGATGACGTCATAATTTATGCAAATTAGATAATTTGCATAATTGAATATCAGAAATTTATTGGAAATTAAACGAGGTTTAATTTGGTACCAATATCATTTCTATAGACCAAATAATAACAGAGCTAAAAATGATTTAAGATACCAAGGTAAGATGTCTAAAGATGCGTAACCATGGTAACTGAATGCCGCAATAAAAGTACTATGGGACATTAGTTGGCAATGTTAACAAATGAATTCATTAAATAGACACCCTAGGGATTACAAAAATGTATGTAACTTATTCACACCTTATGGGTGCATGGGAACCCCTTGTTCCTACTATACAATACAGGATCAAGAAAGAAGTTAATGTTACAGATTAACAGGAGAAAGAGAGTTCAGTACATTTACCTGTTGAGGTGATTCAACATCCAATTCATATGGTAAGCCTTGGAAGCCAAAGCGAATGATGTCTCCTGGTGCCAAACGGACTGCTGCATTTTGTACACGACAGTCATTGACAAATGTCCCCTGAGTTGAATTGAGATCTTGTAAGACAAAGCAGTCTTCCTGGTCGCTGTACTCAACAACTGCATGTTGTTGATCAACATTAGGAGACTACAAGAGAAAATGAATGAATTATTGAATAGGTCTAATAGGACAAATAGATTAGTGATATCCTTCCAATGATCATGAAAGAGATGTAAAGAACACAATAACATGGGTGTAGGCCGTGTAGCGCTATTTTTATGAGTATATGTAATATGCCACCAAGGGAGTACCAGTTGAGCGAAGCGAAAAACGAACATTCAGGGGGTCTGGGAAAGAGAAGAGAAAATCCATCACAAAAGTTTGGTTGTATTTGGAGTGTATTTGCAACCATCTGGTATGCCTGTGCGTATCAGGCGTACCGGGCGCTACGCCTATGTAAAACATTATTGTACCAAAATGGAATTAGATCCTAACTACTTATCGCATCCTGCGACCCCTTTAGATTGTGGTCGTACGCGCGTATAATTGGTCAGTCAATGTTTTTACAAAGTTGGAGAAAATACTATGCATTGCACACCTAAATGACCTACCTCGATACATTCCTTAGTATTTTAGAATTCTTTTTATGCTGTTAGATCACCAATTGTATGGGTTTATCGGCAGAACGAAGAGATTTTAGTTTTTACATCAGAAATATATCAGCAATTTTCAAAATGTCGGAAGGGGAATTCCCCAGGGATTTCCCTTATGACTGGTGCATGCCGGGAACTGAATGGATGAATTTGACGGTTGAAATAAGTTAAATATTACACGCAAATATTGCTATCAAAAACGAAAACCTCTTCGTTCTGCCGATAAACCCATACAATTGGCGATTCAACTACATAAAAAGAATTCTAAAATACTAAGGAATGTATCGAGGTAGGTCATTTAGGTGTGCAATGCGTAGTATTTTCTCCAACTTTGTAAAATCATTGACTGACCAATTATATGCGCGTACGACCACAATCTAAAGGGGTCGTAGGATGCGATAACTAACTACCTGTTACCTGCATTTATAATAGTAATTGCTAATCATAATCAGAGTATTACAGATTCAAGAAAATCTCCATTCGCTGTCAAATGAGATGCCGTCTCATAAGTTTATAAGTAATTTTCCGTCCTAGGCAGACATTGCCTGAATGACAGTTCTGATACTATTTTGAAACTAATGTAGCTTGGGGGCTACTTGTACGCCAGCAATTTTGTAGTTGAACTTTAAATGATGGTGAGTGAGCATCGAGGCGGTTTTTGAACTCATACATATGTTGATACAAAAAGTTTCACACTGTACCTGTATCATGAGGTCACAACCCTCTCTCCCAACTGTTGTTACTTTCGGCGCTAACTGGAACATCCCCTCCACACTTTTCAGGAAGCCTTTCATTTTAGACATTTTCAAGTTCAATTTTTGAACTTTTGTTCAAAACAGTGTGAAAATAATTTTGTTGCTTATCTTTGAGGAAACTTCAACATTGATTCTCAGACGTGTCGTTACTCCATTTTTTATCAGCGCTTGCACAGAGTATCTTTATCATATATTCTTGTATTTTAAATTAAAAAAAGTTCTTCAATATTCGTATTTACAGGGAATTACTAGAAAATGTGTAGTGATTTTAATTCACTTTCCACGATCAAAAATATTTTATCCAATTACGCATGCGCATTGTGTATAGCAACAAAACATTGAAATTGCGTGCATAGTAACATTTTGTAAATATGGGTTATTTTCATTACTCTTTGATAGGATGTATAACGAATATCACTAATAATAAAAACTCAACGTTTATATAGAAATTGACAACATTTGAAATTGAAATCACGAAATAATCGAAGATCTAGATGTTATAAATATGTTGTGACACTGCGTCGTGAGTGAGTAGCAGAAATCGGTAGAGGTTCTATGTAAGCAGTCACGACACTTAGAGCATTTTCCCATTTAGGACACCCATGGAAATTCTCCTTGTGTCCACTACAAATTTGGGAATTCTCATTACATACACTCAAACTTTATTTCTACATTTCACATGCAAGCCACATTAATTCATATGTAGTTTCCTCATGTGTATTTCCACGAACACTATGACACACCGTTTGTCTCTAAGCTCAATGTCCAACATGTGTCAGGTACCTATACACATCGTGGCCGATGCAAGCAGTCACGAAAATTCAGCAAATCTCGTCCACATCAGTTATGCCTGTGAAATCTCCTCCACACGTGCGCACGTACAATGTAGTACTAACTCCCTCAGCACAAGTGAAATCTCCTTTACACGTGCACGTAGTGCTAATTCCCTTCCATGCGCAAATCTCGCCCACATCCATTTTGCCTGTGTATTCTCCTCTACACGTGCACCACGTAGTACTTACTTATTCGCCCTAATTCCCCTGTTTCACATCTTCGCACAGATTGGTGGGGTAAACGGGGGTACGGGGAAACGATCTCCTATACACTTCATCCTACTATATTACGTACCGTGGTTGGCGGGGTAACGGGGTAGATACTCTGACATGTATTTACATATCTCCTATACACTTCATCCTACTATACGTGCCGTGGTTGGCGGAGTAAACGGGGTACTTACACTATCTCCCATACACGACTTGATCCTACTATACGTACCGTGGTTGGCGGGGTGAACGGGGTACATACTCTCACATGTATTTACCCATCTCCCATACACTTCATCCTACTATACGTCATGTAATTACCGTGGTTGGCGGGGAGAACGGAGCAAATACTGTGACATGTATTTACATATCTCCTATACACTTCATCCTACTATACGTATCGTGGCTGGCGGGGTAAACGGGGTATATACTCTCACATGTATTTACCCATCTCCCATACACTTCATCCTACTATACGTACCGTGGTTGGCGGGGTGAACGGGGCAAATACTGTGACATGTATTTACATATCTCCTATACACTTCATCCTACTATACGTATCGTGGCTGGTGGGGTAAACGGGGTACATACTCTCACATGTATTTACCCATCTCCCATACACTTCATCCTACTATACGTATCGTGGCTGGCGGGGTAAACGGGGTACATACTCTCACATGTATTTACCCATCTCCCATACACTTCATCCTACTATACGTATCGTGGCTGGCGGGGTAAACGGGGTACATACTCTCACATGTATTTACCCATCTCTCATACACTTCATCCTACTATAAGTCATGTAATTACCGTGGTTGGCGGGGTGAACGGGGTAAATACTCTGACATGTATTTACATATCTCTCATACATTTCATCCTACTATTCGTACCGTGGTTGGCGGGGTGAGCGGGGTACATACTCTCACATGTATTTACTTATCACCCATACACGTCGATCCTACTAGTAAGCTTACCTTGGTTTAGTCAATCAACATTATTTTAAATACGTCTGTTATAACTCCCAAACGATCCTCAATAAAAATCATCAAATGGTTAATTAGTGGATAAAGTTGAAACCGTCATTCATCAACTTTGGGGTGTTACACCCCAGTCACATTTCCCACGGCCGCCGTGCGGTCTATCATTTCTGCGGCCAGCAGCTTTTCTACGCTCGCCGTAGAATTTCTGCGCTCTCCTACTTTTGCAGTCACATTTCCCACGGCAGCCGCACGGTGAATTTTAAATTTCTGTTGATAAATAATACTTTTTTTCATTTTATTTACATCGGGACAATTTATAAATGTTATTCATAGTGCTAGGATGTAAAACAAATGAAAAGTGATCGTGAAATATTGACAAATGATGATTCAATCTTGTTGAGCCAGTTGATTTCTACGGGGACCTCAGAAATGAATAAATATAAAACAACGCCAAGTTATAATTTCTACGGCGACCCTGCGGCCTGTAAAAAACTGGATACGCCGTACGGAGCGTAGTTTTTCTATGCTCGCCGCAGAAATCCACTGATTTAATTGATCTGCGGTCGACGTACGGCCGCCGTGCGACAAATGTGACTGGGGTGTTACTAATTTCAGAGAACAATTTCAAGAGGAGCAAAAGACTAACCCCCCAGTCACATTTCCCACGGCCGCCGTGCGGTCTATCTATCATTTCTGCGGCCAGTAGCTTTTCTACGCTCGCCGTAGAATTTCTGCGCTCTCATACTTTTGCAGTCACATTTCCCACGGCAGCCGCACGGTGAATTTTAAATTTCTGTTGATAAATAATACTTGACTCACTCGAAAAGTGCTTAGCTTCATCTGGGACAAATGTTTGTGCTTGTAAATGATACAGGGTGGGCAATAAAAATGAGACACTTTGTATCAGAATTTATGATCACATAGATGAACCATGCATTACATGCAAAAAGATGGGGAATTCGTTCAGCTTTAATAATATTCTTGAAGAAAATGTCTAATATGTCTCCCTCTATTTTAGCTCTAAATCTCAGAAAATTCATCACCGTACATTATATATATGCTTAAACCTTTGCTATACCATTCATGATTCCTTCTATACTCAGTTTGTTCTAATATCCATTGCATAATCAACCTATCATCATACCATAGTTTCATTTTTGCATAGAAACCTTGATTTTAGTTTTTGGAACAATTCATACAAGAGGATCAAATAAACGTTATAGTTTCTTTAATAAAAAGTCACAATGTTGTCACAGTTTTATTCTTAACATAAAGGGGGTTGTCTAGGCTACAAATAACAATGCTATGTTGTGTCGTAAAAGAACAACTTGTATTTTTACATCATATTTTATTAGTCAGTTATGTGATAGCATATTTGCTCCCATATTCTATCTTCGCTGATAAGTCTACTTGTGATCAAAGAGTAATAAAACCATAACTAACCATTGTAACGACTTATCCGAAAATATAGATAACAACCCAGGTGCTGAGGGGCGTAAGCCAGTCTAGAGATGAACCTCGATTAAGCAACAAAATTTAAGTTATGTTGCTTAATTTGTCACCATTATGTTTTAGCCCTTTCTTCTAATCTATGCTGTGGGTAGGACTTTTTTCTCCACAAAAGATAACAATATAAATCTTTCCTCACATTTTCTATAATATCAACATCTTGTCTCAATATCTTCATTTGCTCTCAAGAGGAAAGGGTATAATTAATAACGGATTCTAACAGTTCATGGCGTCTACTCCCCCATAAACACCCGGTCCACGCAACCATTAGTTTTTTGTGTCACCCGGTATATATTTTAGATAAAACAAAACGGAGCAGCATGAAAGGACCTGTGTTTTCATTAGTATTAAGACTATTCCATGTATTTCAAAAGCCATCGTTGTAATGTTGTAAAACGTGTTATTATTTGAAAACGATCTTTCGAAGTGTAGGATGTTTGCGTTTTCAAAAAAAGATTTCACGATTTAGCCATTTAGCCACATAGGTGGTTTATTTTTGTCAAATTAGACGATTCCACCTTGTGCCTAATTCTCAAACATTTCGAGAGAAGTGTTACTGTACTATGTTTTCGGGTATAAGAAAGTCAAAGGACCTAAAGATGACTACATATGTATATGGCAATGAATTCAACCAATTTCTGGATATGGTTAGATGTGTAGAAAATAGAGGTGCATGGAAAAATGGTGAAAACCTTTTTGTTTCAAGTTGAATGCGAAAACTTTTTGACGTATCTGAGGTCATATCCTTGTCATTTTGACCCAATGGAAGCTGCTTAAGGACGAGGGTACAGTAGTGGCGTAGCCAGGATTTGGTGACCGGGGGTTCTATTTTTATGTTATTCACAAATCCCCCCACCCCTTCATTAGGGTTCCTCAAATAATGTACAATTACACCCCCTCCAAAAGTTTGGCAATCCTAACTAACCCATTGGATTATGTATTAAACGCATCTTTAAGTTTGATTTCTTATTTATTTTTATATTTTTAGAAAGAACTATTTTGGGAGGGGAAATATAATTCATTTTAATACCGTCATTAAGTGAAGTAGATAATTGAATTTTAATTTTATTTAACAGAAACGATTCCTTTATTTACGTTAGCAAAGTCTGAAAGTAATAGGCTTTATCAAGAAACCTCTCCCATTGAAATAACACTGGACGTAATTGATTTTCAAAAATGACCTTGTAGCTTTGTAACTTTAATGTTCACAAAGTAGAATAAACAGGCAACGTGCAAAAAAGTCAAACAACCTATGATTAATTTTCTGCATCAAAATATATTTAGGTGAATCTTTTATTGAATACATATCCTGAAATCTGATTTACTCCGAATCCACCATTATTTCGTCTGATTTCTGGAAGACTCTGGAGCATGATTTGTTTCCAAGGAATATCAACTATTTCGCACAATTTTTTCTTTAACTTAAGCTACTTCATCTAGGACAAAATAAATCACCTCATGCAATGGCTTATCATAATTTTTCAGGAATTTTGTTGGAGTCCAGTTCGGATCAAATGCAAACACCCTACTGTATACTCCGAAAGATCGTTCTTCTACGATGACTTTTCACAACGTTTACACGAAGGCTTTTTAAACTATCCGGGATAGTCGTATTACTGATGAAAATATCTATTATTCAAATAAGTGGGTCTCGGTTATGCTTTGTTTTTAAAAGTTAAAAATACTTCTTTGGATGTCCCCGGAGCTCAGTTGTAAGACCCCCGGAGCAGATCAACTGCAATTGATTATAAAAATGTTTTGGTGGATATAA